TTTTCGTAATATTCATTCCCCCATAATGCCAGAAATTGGCTTAATGGTGCATTTACTAAATTCATCAAATAAATAAAAACAGATTGCTCCTATGTCCAATTGTTAAAATTGGATCAGAATAGAATTATTACAAGAACTTAAATGTTAAGCTGTTAGCACAGAAAAACTGTTCTCAGTTTCATCTAACACTAACACAAATAACCTAAGGGAAGTGCTGAATGGTGTTGGCAGGGGTATTAAATGTGCATTTTTACTCAACTACCTCAGGTATTCAGTAATGCAATGAAAGCAAAATTGTTTTGTTTTTTTCTGAAAATTTTATATACTTTATAAAGATAAGTCCAACTGTTTTTTAAAAAATAAAATTAGCTAACAGGCAAATAACTGAGAAAAAAATTTTACTTCTGGCTGGTGACAGTAAAGCTGGAAAATTAATTTCAGGTTTTTTGAGGCTTTTGACAGTTATTAGTTGGAAAATCCAGTAATCGTTCAGTGATACGGAGCAGTGCCTATATTTGGAGAGCAGCAAATACCATTTATTTTTTTGTTTATGGTAGGGAAGTTTTTGATGGTACTAACAGAGCAAAGTGGCTGCAGGAGGTTTTGGAACGGCTAGTTTTACAGGAGACTTCAGGGTTTTTTTGTTTGGCTATGTGACTGAATGCATAAATGCTTTGTGCTTTTGACTATCACTACCTAAAGCAAGTGTATCTATGGAGACATGCAGCTCCTGTGAACTTTAAATTGATTGGCAAGAAGAAAGCTTCAGCTTGCCTTACAGGATGCTTAGTTTGCCAATATATTGCAGACCAGTTGGTCTATGCTTGGAGCAGACCCCAAAAGAATTGCTTTGTGAAGACCAATGGGGCAGTCAGACGGTGTGACAGTGTTTAAAGGCAATAAAAGGCTACATCTCCCGGTGCCAGGCACTGTCATGAGCCTCACACTAAGCTAGATTTTAAGCAATGATAAATCAAGAAGAATGAAAGGCCACCTAGAATATTTCATAAATTGCAGCAGGATTTCTGTATTCTCTGCAACCAGTTATTTGAAAATAAGTCAAAAGGTAGAAAAATACAAGAACAACTTTTGGAATATAATCTGAATGACTGTGATATAATACATTTGACCTTTGATACTGAATGCATTCGCCCATTTCCTACCTTGATGGCAAAGCCTGGTATGTAGTTATGTGGGTGTGGGTGGTCTCCAAGGCCACACTGCTCTCAGAATTGTTTCTTTTGTTCATTAAATGATCACAGTCGTCATATTATACTGATCTGAAGGGCATATATATATATATAATAACCCTTAAATCATTTTGCTTCATTTGTATGTCAAGATGAATTTCTACAGACTAGGTAGGTTTTTCTGAAGATCACTGTATCCTTTAAACATTTTGAAAATGACTTGAAATGTTTTCCTAAATGTTTTCAGAAAATCAGTTTATTTTGTAGTTTTAGCCAAAAAGTGCCCTTTTTGTCACTGAATTCATCTAGCATTCATCATTTTCTTCCATGCAATGAATTGCTTTAAAAAAAAAAAAAAAAAAGTAATGGACTGGCTTTCTGGTTGGATTTTGGGTAAAATGTGCTTAAGGCCAGAGCTCTTCCTCAGTATTTGATTTTTCCAACTTTTTTTTTTAAATACAGATAGGTGCTACATTTATATCTGCCTGTTTAAATTCTGTCATGTTTCACTTCTAGCCTTCTAGTGTGGCAAATCATGTTTTACTTTCAATTAAGCATTGGTAATGGAGTATCTGGTAATACTAGGAAATAATTCTGTTGTAATTGAGTTTTGTACTCACGACATATGGATCATTCCTCATCTGTAACGTGCCCCAAATACAGCTTCATTTTCCAGATACCTTGATGCAGAATAAAGTGTTTCATTATCACGTGCAGCCTGCTGTGTAGTATGTATATTTGGCTTTTCAGATTAATGTGAATGTCCTGAATTTGGTCAAAAAGTATAAACTGAGATTTTTAGTAATGCTATGTCAATCTCAAGGTAGACACCAGTATCTACCAATGTCCTGACTGTGAACCTAGATAATACTGTTGCATATGAACTGAGAACTAAAGGTTTTACGTTACAGGACCAGTGGGGTGGTTATGTTTTCTGCTATATTTTTAAAAAATTTTTGGCTATACTATTCTACAGAATAAGATTTAAACTTAAACTCGGAAGACACTTTGCTAGGCCTGGGAATGAGCATTCCTAGCACTGTGGAATGAAATGGTCATGAAATGCCCCCCAAACCATGGTCAAACCTATGACCATGAAGGGGTCTTGCTGACTGGAAACTGGCACTCGCCATTGGTACTTGCTGTCTGCCTCTACAAAGATTAAATCACGAGCCGCTGCAGCTGCTGACCTTCAGCACCCCCTGAAAACGAGTTCAGAGTGGAGAACAGGAATGAGGTACTCTGTGCTCTGGGAAAAACTGGCAGAACAAGGCTTCAGATAGATAGACAGCTATTTTCAGGAGAAGATTTTATGGGCCCAGATTCTTGTTCTTCTCATACCTAGAGAAACACTAACATCATTAATGGCGACATCTGCTTTGGCTATTAAGGGGAATATTACAATTAAGAGTCAAAATGGAGTAGCTATGGTTTAGACATCCAAGAAATAACTAGATGACACTGTGGGTGTGATTTCAGGCAAACCCTTGTATTGCTAAGAACTTGAGTTTTCTGAGCTGTGTCAGACTTGGATGCCACCAGCCGTTCTCAAAATAATGTCTGCTGGCAGCTGATAACTGCAACCTTACTTTTTAAAGGTCTCCTCTTGTAACTATTACATTTTTAGACAACGGAATTCCTTTAGATCATACATTAACAAAAAGAAAGACGTATGATGACCAATAGCTCCTGTTATATATGTTAATACCACATTAAAAGTTAAAACCTACCTCAATAAAACTAGATAACTGGCTACCTGGCTACAAGTCTCCCCAGAGCACCAGGTCCAGACTGTGTTTCAGGCTTATTCTCCTGAAAAGAAACGAGCTTTATTTTGCCTACTAAAATCCTGTTGTCACTCCTCCAACTACTTCTAATTGGGTCTGTTACACCAAAATGGCAGACCAAGGGATTGAGATTTTAATCGTGCAAGACTCAGATCCAGGACTTGGAAATGAGAAATATTTCCAATTCAGTGTCTATTCTCCAGATTGAGGCAGGACTATGCCCTGTTGTAGCATTCTGGAGCACTGCCCTGTTACCTCACTACCAATCGATCAGAAGAAAGTCACACACCCTGCAGCCCTCACCCCAAATTTTGCCTTCCTTTTCTGGGCCCGGTGATGACCATCCTGTTAGGCCTCCCCCCCCCGCCCCCGCACCAGCACGCGGGCCTCTCACTGTTGTGGCCTCTCCCGTTGCGGAGCACAGGCTCCGGACGCGCAGGCTCAGCAGCCATGGCTCACAGGCCCAGCCGCTCCGCGGCATGCGGGATCTTCCCGGACCAGGGCACGAACCCGTGTCCCCTACCTCTGCAGGCAGACTCTCAACCACTGCGCCACCAGGGAAGCCCGTAACTTACATTTTTAGACAACGGAAGTGCTTTAGATCATACATTTAATAAAAAGAAGAGACATGTTTGATGACCAATAGCACCTGTTACCTATGTGTTAATACCACATTAAAAGTTAAAACCTACCTCAATAAAACTAGACAACTGGCTATGTGGCTACAAGTCTCCCCAAAGCACCAGGTCCAGACTGTGTTTCAGGCTTATTCTCCTGAAAAGAAATGATGTTTATTTTCCCTATTAAAATCTCATTATCACTCCTCCAGGGAAGGGAGGGGATGCAAAAAAAGGGTAGGAGCTGTCAAGTAGTGGTACAGCATTGGGGCAGGGTCCACCTCAAGGAGTATGCATAACAATATCTTTGAGTTCTGCAGGAACTAAGGCCCCCACCCTGGTGGAGGATGGTAACTTCAGGCTGAGTGCCAAGATTCCTGGAGCATTGTCACTACCAATCGATCAGAGGAAAGTCACACACCCTGCAGGCCTCAACCCAAATTCTGCCTGCCTTTTCTGGGCCTGGTGATGACCATCCTGTTAGGCCTCCTGTTTGGCCCTTGTCGGTTTCAACTGCTTACAAGGTTCATCGCCCACAGGGTCCAAGAGTTTCAGCTAAACTGCTGTTACTACAAGGATGAATGCCAGTTTTGGGCATAGAATACCTCAATTTAGATCAGGTAGAGAGAGACTTCTACTCTACTAGGCAGGACTACGCCCACTCTCAGCAGGAAGTAGTTACAGAAGAAAGAGACCTCCACTCCAATTCCCAAGAATTATCTTGAGTATGAAGTCTCTCAGGGAGGAGTTGATAGGGGAAACACTGAAACTGCCTGCCCTGGCTAGGCAACATAGTAACCACTTGCATGAGTTATCTTAAACAGGAGGCCCTGGTAAGGAATGCAGAACTAACAAGCTACTACCAACTGGAAGAATTCAGGAAAGGTCAAAAGGAGAGAGGGGACTTCAGTCTATATGTCCTGCCAACCTCCCAGAATCCTTCTCACTGGAATCCACCTTGGCTGAGCAATGCATGCGACACCAGGAAGGACCCCGAGTCAGAATGATTGGCCAGAGACAACCCAGAAACCATTCCCATAAAACACGAGACTGTGAGCCATGTGGTAGAGCAGTCCTCCTGGGTTCCTTTACCCTCCTGCTCTCCACCTGGGTGCCCCTTCCCAAAAAAGTCTCTTGCTTTGTCAGCAAAAAATAAAATAAAAATAAACTCTGAGCAGAGAGCTCAAGTAAAACACAGGGGCCAATGCAACTTCCAGGAAATCCTGCTGAGATCTCAGGAACAAAGACAATATATTAACTTTAGTTTGAATGTACTGATTCACAGTGTGAGAATTAGCTCACTTACCTACAATTTCCACGTGTCAGTTAGGATTAGTGTCCATACATAAGACTTGTTTTGACAACAACCAGCTTAGGCACGGTTTATAAGTGACTCAATCCAAATCTGAAATGACTAAAGCAGTTCATACCATTTTATTCATATTTAAACTCCACAGGAGCCAGAGATGAAGTGTCATCTTCTATTCCAAGAATGAAGTCTTCAGGTAAGGTCTCAGGTGCTATCTGAGCTAACTGGTCATCATAAGAACGAAGGGTCCATAATTTCTCTAATTCATACGTTTCTCTGGTTTCTGGAAGCATCAAATGAATCACCATGCTGCCTATCAAGGACAGATAAGACTTACAGTGAAGCAGCAGTTCATTTGCTTTTACCCTTGTGATCTCACAAACCTCTGTGACAGAACAGTGGTTCTCAAAGTGTGAACCCCAGATTAGCATTACCTGAGAACTTGTTAGAAATGCAAATTGTGGACACCATCCAGGAAAAATACCACAGAAGTGATGCTGTGCTTTTCTCAGTGCATCATACAGGAGGTACATGATATCAATATGTAACATTACTCGTGATGGGGTTTGCTTGGGAGTCAGTCCTCCAAGGGTATCATCACATTTCTGCACAGCCTGTGAGCAAAGCACTGACAGGCTTTTGTTCTGGACTATATTTTTAAGGATGTTGGCAAATATTCTCAGAACTACTGTCTCCCTCTGGATCAAAGCACAAGTATGCTTACAGCAGTGGTTTTCAATTAAGGGACATTTTTGATTTTCACAGTTGGCGGGGTGGAGAAGAGAAGAACATCCTACAATGCACAGAATATTCCTCGGCACCCGAATTACCTGGCCAAAAATGTTAATAGTGGCAAGGCTGAGAAACCCTGACATACAGCCTTGGCCGAAAAAGTGTTTTCCACCAGAGCAAATGCAGGCCTGCTTCCTGCCCATTACAAAAGATGTAGATACCCTAATCTCAGGGTTCTTCTCTTAGAACTTTGTGTGCAGGTGTCATCTGGTCCTGTGTTGCTCTGGGACCCTGGTGCAAAAATGGTGCTTGACGCTGGCTATTGCTATTGCTGAGTAACCAACTGTGCTTCATCAAACCTTGACTAACTTGTTAGCTTACACGTAAGATAAAATCTGAGACCCTTCACAGTTCTTCGGTTACTGTTTTTCCCTTTGTATTAACTATCTTTTGGGGAAATACTTTGAAACTATGTATGTATTAATACCCAAATTTGTTAAATCTTTTCAAAATTCTAGTCCTCTGCTCTTGTCCTTCCCTGTGCCTAGAATGCCCTTCACCTTATCTGAGTTATTTAAGGCCAAGGTTATGTGTACCCCAAGGTGCCTTCCACCACCACTAGGGGATCTCTCCCATGTTATCCATCCTGTTCTCCACCAGCTTTCTGACCTGTATGGCAACTTACCATGTGAGATGAGGATTTCACATGTGAATAAGACCAAATAAGTTATAAGAAAACTTATTTTAGACACACTTCAAAAATTGTATGTGGAAATAATAAGAACCTGCTGTATAAAAAAATAAAATTCTAAAGTTAAAAAGAAAAATGTATGTGGAGAAACACAGATCTCAATCCTTTTACAACTGAAAACAGTTCAAGATTAGTGCAATATCAAATATTTATCTGTAGATTGTGCCAAAATAACTTACCAAAGTCCACACAGAGCCAGTCATCTGTGTCCTTCCCTTCGATCTTAACATGAGGCTCACTTTTACGTTTCAGGTATTTGTACTGAAAAAAGACAGATCACATATTAAAGGGGAAGAGGATAGGGAAAATCTGTTCTTATCGAGCGTCTGGGGGTATTTTTCTTGGTCTTAATTTGGCAACTAACTTATTCATTCCTCACAGCTACACCATGCCCCTTAATATAAACATAGGGAAACTTTTTTCCCCCTTAAATCCTACCCACTTCCTACACCTGTCTCCTGAATCCTCCTGCCCAAACCCTTGTGACAGGGCCACCTCACTCATTTACCAAGGTGCCTCAGAGGCAGGCCTAAACTCTCTCAATATCCACTTCTCACATACATCATCCCTTCTGTCCATCCCAGCTTCCTTTCCCTCTCAGGGGAGACAGATGCTGCCTTCCTGTTTTAAGGCTAGGTCTTCTCAGTTTTAATGATTCCATCTCATCTACTTTCATGACAATGTTAATGGGATTTTATCATCCCATAATCTCTTTTCCCAGCAGATTCCAAAATGGTCTAAAACAACAAATACACTAATGTTAGAAAAAAATACTATTACAAGACAAGGACATTATATAATGATAAAAGGGTCAACCAACCAAGATGACATAACAATTAGAAACATGCACCAAAAATCAGAGCTCCTAGATATATGAAACAAACACTGACAAAATTGAAGGGAGAAACAGATAGCAACCCAGTAATATAGCAGACTCAATACCCCATTTGCATTAATGGATGGAGGATCAATAAGGAGAGAACTTGAACAGCACTACAGACCAATTGAACCTAATGGACATTAACAGAACATTCTACCCAACAACAGCAGAATACACATTTTTCTCAAGTGCACATGGAACATTCTCCAGGATAGATCATCTGTTAGGCAACAAGTCTTAATAAATTCAAAGATTAAACTCATATAAAGTATATTTTCTGATCACAATGAACTAGAAATCAACAGAAGCAAAACTAGAAAATCCACAAATATGTGGAAATCAACTGTTTTATTACCTTAAACAACTGATCAAAGAAGAAATAACAAGGGAAATTAGAAAATATCTTGAGACAAATGAAGTTATAGAATGCAGTGAGAGCAGCACTAAGAAGGAAATGTATAGCTGTATATGCTTACGTGAAAAAAATAGTTCCCAAATCAACAACATGAATTTATACCTTAAAGAACTAGGAAATGCACCATCAAAAAATGACAAATAATAAATGCTAGAGAGGGTGTGGAGAAAAGGGAACCCTCTTGCACTGTTGGTGGGAATGTAAATTGATACAACCACTATGGAGAACAATATGGAGGTTCCTTAAAACACTAAAAATAGAATTACCATATGATCCAGCAAGCCCACTCCTGGGCATATATCCAGAAAAAACCATAATTCAAAAAGACACATGCATCCCAATGTTCACTGCAGCACTATTTACAATAGCCAAGACATGGAAGCAACCTAAATGTCCACTGACAGAGGAGTGGATAAAGATGTGGTACATATATACAATGGAACATTACTCAGCCATAAAAAGAAAGAAATAATGCCATTTGCAGCCACATGGATGGACCTAGAGATTATCATACTAAGCGAAGTCAGACAAAGACAAGTATCATTATATCACTTATATGTGGAATCTAAAAAAAAAGGTACAAATGAACTTATTTACAAAGCAGAAATAGAGTCATAGATTTAGAAAACAAACTTATGGTTACGGGGGAGGGGGAAGCGGGGGTGTGGACAAATTGGGAGATTGGGATTGATATATACACACTACTATATATGAAATAGATATCTAATAAGGACCTACTGTATATAGCACAGGGAGCCCTACACAATACTCTGTAATGATCTATATGGGAAAAGAATCTAAAAGAGTGGATGTATGTATAACTGATTCACTTTGCTGTATACCTGAAATGAACACAATACTGTAAATCAACTATAGTCCAATAAATATTATAAAATAAAAAGAAATAGGAAATGAAGAACAAATTAAAGCTGGCAGAAGGAAGAAGTCAATGACCAAATTAAAACAAAATAGACAAAAATCAACGAAACCAAGATTTCATTTTTCAAAAAGCTCAACAAAATTGACCAATAAACCCCCAGATAACTAAAATCAGAAATGAGTGAGGAGACATTAGAGACACAACAAACTGGGAAACCCAAAATAAATGGACAAATTCCTAGAAACACACAACCTACCAACACTGCATCATGAAGAAACAGAAAAGTATGAATAGCCCTATTCAATAATAGCAACAGGATTGAGTCATTAATCAAAAACCTCCCAACACAACTGTATCTCAAATGAAAGGGTGGGGTATAGAGAAAAGAACACACAGAGAAGAAGGAAGGAAAAAAAACCTCCCAACAAAGAAAAGCCCTGGACCACACAGCTTCTTCACTGGTGAATGCTACCAAATACTTAAACATAAGCTAACATCAAATTTTGCTAAAACTCTTCCAAAAAACTGAAGAGGTGGGAACACTTCCTAATTTATTCTATGGGAGTAGCATTAACCTGATACGAAGACCAGACAAAGACCCTATAAGAAAACACTACAGACCAATATCCTTGATGAATACTGATGGAAAACTCCTGAATGAAATACTAGCAAACATAATTCAGTACTGCATTCAAAGAATTATATATCAACACCACATGGGATTTATTCCTGGAATGTAAGGATGATTCCACATGAAAAAACCAATGTAGGGACTTCCCTGGTGGCACACTGGTTAGGAATCCACCTGCCAATGGACATGGGTTCAAGCCCCTTGTCTGGCAAGATCCCACATGCCATGGAGCAACCCCGTGTGCCACAACTACGAGAGCCTGTGCTCTAGAGCCCATGAGCCACAACTACTGAGCCCACGTGCCACAACTACTGAAGCCCACACGCCTAGAACCTGTGCTCCGCAATGAGAGAAGCCACCGCAATGAGAAAGAAGCCTGCACACTGCAACAAAGAGTAGCCCCCACTTGCCACTACCAGAAACAGCCCGCGCACAGCAACAAAGACCCAACACAGCCAAAAATAAATTAATTAATTTAAAAAATTAATGTAATAAACCACATTAACAAAATGAAAGACGAAAACCACAGGATCATTTCAAATTTATGCAGAAAAAGCATCTGACAAAGTTCAATACCCTTTCATGATAAAAACTCAACAGTACGGAAAAAAAACCCAAACCTACCTTAAGGTAATAAAGGCCATACATGAAGAGCCCACGGCGATTAGCTATCATCATACGTGATGGCAAAAAACTGAAAGTTTTTCCTCTCGGATCACGAACAACACAAGAATGCCCACTTTTGCCACCTTCTACTCAACACAGTACTGTAAGTTCTAGCCATGGCAATTAGAGCAAGGGGAAACAAAAGAAAAAAGTAACAAAACTGGATAGGAATAAATAAAATTGTTTCAACTTGCAGATGACATGCTCTTTATACATAGAAAACCCTAGGGCTTCCCTGGTGGCGCAGTGGTTAAGAATCTGCCTGCCAACGCAAGGGACACGGGTTCAAGCCCTGGCCCAGGAAGATCCCACGTGCCGCAGAGCAACTAAGCCCGTGCGCCACAACTACTGCGCCTGCATGCCACAGCTACTGAAGCCCGTGCGCCTAGAGCCTGTGCTCCAACAAGAGAAGCCACCACAATGAGAAGCCCGCACACCACAACGAAGAGTAGCCCCTGCTCACTGCAACCAGAGGAAGCCTGCATGCAGCAACGAAGACCCAACTCAGCCATCAATAAATAAATAAATTTTTTTAAAAAGGAAATATTTCTATTTACAATAGAATCAAAAAGGATAAAATACTTAGAAATAAACATAACCATGGAAGCAAGACTCATACACTGAAAACTACAAAACGTTGCAAAGATGCCACCAATAATCAGACACTCTGCATCCATGAATTGGAACACAATATTGTTAAGACTTTATCTACAGATTCAATACAATCAATCTCTATCAAAATCCCAGTGACTTCTTTTTGTAGAAATAGAAAAATCCATCCTAAAATTTATATGTAATCTAAAGAGACCCCAAATAGCCAAAAACAATCTTGAAAGGGAAAAGCACAGTTGAAGATCTCAAGTTTCCTGATCTAAAAACTTACTACAAAGCTACAGTAATCAAAACAGTGATTAAGATAAACTTATAGACCACTGGAATAAAACAAAGAGCCCATATGGTCAAATGATTTTTCAACAAGGGTGCCAAGTCCATCCAATAGGGAAAGGCAGTCCTTTCAACAAATGGTACTGGGAAAGCTAGATTATCTACGTGCAAGAGAATGAAGTTGGAGTCTTTATCTGACACCATCTACAAAAACTAACTGAATACCAAAGACCTAAACATGAAACCTAGAACTATAAAACTCTTAGAAGAAAACACAGTGGATAAGATTGGTTCAAGATGGCAGAGTAGAAGGACATGCACTCACTCCCTCTTGCAAGAACACCAGAAACACAACTAACTGCTGAACAATCATCGAAAGGAAGACACTGGAACTCACCAAATAAGATACCTCACATCCAAAGACAAAGGAGAAGCCACAATGAGATGGTGGGAGGGGCATAATCACAATAAAATCAAATCCCATAACTGCTGGGTGGTGACTCACAAACTGGTGAACACTTACACCACAGAAGTACACCCACTGGAGTGAAGGTTCTGAGCCCCACGCCAGGCTTCCCAACCTGGGGGTCCAGCAACCAGAGGAGGAATTCCTAGAGAACCAGACTTTGAAGGCTAGTGGGATTTGATTGCAGGACTCCGACAGGACTGGGGGAAGAAGAGTCCACTCTTGCAGGGCACACACAAAGTAGAGTCTGCATCAGGACCCAGGGGAAGGAGCAGTGACCCCATAGGACACTGAACCAGACCTACCTGCTAGTGTTGGAGGGTCCCCTGCAGAAGCAGGGGGTGGCTGTGGCTCACCGTGAGGACAAGGACACTGGCAGCAGAAGTTCTGGGAAGTATTCTTTGGTGTGAGCCCTCCTGGAGTCTGCTATTAGCCCCA